GTACGAGGATAAAACCGAGTGGGGGTCTAGGATCGGTTGGATCTACGGGTCTGTCACTGAAGACGTGGTTACCGGTTATAGAATGCATAACCGTGGCTGGAAGTCGGTTTACTGCGTCACGAAACGTGATGCGTTTCGTGGCACAGCGCCTATCAACTTGACGGATAGGCTTCACCAGGTGCTACGTTGGGCTACTGGCTCTGTTGAAATCTTCTTCTCAAGAAACAACGCGTTTCTCGCGAGTCCAAGAATGAAGATTCTTCAGAGAATCGCTTACTTGAACGTTGGAATCTATCCTTTTACTTCAATCTTCCTAATCGTCTATTGCTTCCTCCCTGCGCTCTCACTCTTCTCAGGACAGTTCATAGTCCAAACACTTAACGTCACGTTCCTCATCTACCTTTTGATCATCTCCATCACATTGTGTTTACTAGCTCTCCTAGAGATCAAATGGTCAGGTATCTCACTGGAAGAATGGTGGAGAAACGAGCAGTTTTGGCTCATTGGTGGAACAAGTGCACATTTAGCTGCTGTTATCCAAGGACTGCTCAAAGTTGTGGCTGGAATCGAAATCTCGTTCACGTTGACTTCTAAATCAGGAGGAGATGACGTGGACGACGAGTTTGCGGATCTCTACATAGTGAAATGGACTTCTCTGATGATTCCACCGATCACGATCATGATGGTGAATTTGATTGCTATTGCGGTGGGTTTTAGCAGGACGATATATAGTGTGATTCCGCAGTGGAGTAAGTTGATTGGAGGAGTGTTCTTTAGCTTTTGGGTGTTGGCTCATCTTTATCCTTTTGCTAAAGGGCTTATGGGACGAAGAGGGAAGACTCCGACCATTGTTTATGTTTGGTCGGGACTTGTTGCTATCACTATTTCACTGCTTTGGGTTGCTGTCAATCCACCTGCTGGTTCTACTCAAATTGGAGGATCGTTCACGTTTCCATGAGTTAATAGGTTTGGTTTCTTAAATTCTCTTAGTTTGAGTTATGTATTTATTTGTATATGAAGATTTTTTTTGTAAGAATATTTCTTCTGTTCAAATGATGCAGAGTCTTACAAGAAGAGATGGACACGGAGAACACAAAGTATAGTTGTGAGCAAGTCAATAACTAAGAATTTCTCTCATTGTCTGTCTTTTTAATTTGCTGGAAAAGGACATTTTTTTATTTGTCTTTTCAAATTTTGTAATATTTGATTTGTTGATGGAGTCATTTATGTTGGTACTGTTATATTTTGTGAAATGCAATTTATCATTATGACTGTTTCTTGAATTTTTCTAAAAGAACAAATAATTAAAAATGGATTCAAATTTGAAAATGCAGTCAATCATTTTAATTACTTCTAGGCTATACTTCCCAAATTTGATACTGAATTTATATTTACATTTTTACTATTCATGATAGTGCTCTTTTATAAAAGAAGCCCAAAAGCAGTTGTCAAGACAAATTTTACAAAATAAGAAGCCCAAAATAGCCCAATGGATTCAAACGGGTCGGGTTATCAGGTCAAGTATCTAGAATCCAACCCGTCGTGACCAAAAACGGATCGGGTTATCGGGTAACCGCCGAAACCCTACCAAAAACCTTGAGAACCTTCTCTACGATCGATCGTCTTCTCCTTCTACATTAATCTCTTTTCTTCTTACAGCATTCTCGAATCATGTCTCAGAAATGTGCGATTGGTTTGATTTCAGCCGTGGCAGCTTCTGTTTCTCTATCGCAATCGAAAGTCGCTGCTGCTGCTGATGGTCCTTTCACTTTCCCTGGATTGCTCTCCAACTCTCCTCCTCCTCCTCCTTCTGCGAATCCTCAGCAGCAGGCTGCCTCTTCTCCTGCTGCTAAAGAATCTTCAGATTCTCCTACTCGAGCTAGAAATGATAATCCGAGGACGAGTTCTGGTGGTTTCGATCCGGAGGCGTTGGAGCGAGGAGCTAAGGCCTTGAAGGAGATTAATAACTCATCTTACGCGAAAAATGTCAGATTTTTTTTTTTTTAAAAACAGTCGAATTTTTATTACCGGATAATATCTCTTTGTCGGATCTTAGCATTGGTCTGGTCTCTTTCTGTGTGTGTTTGGCTCTGAGACCTGGTTTTTTTTTTTTTTTTAGGTTTTTGAGAGTATTAAGCTGCAAGAAGAGACAAAGAAAACTGAGTTTGCAGCCAAGGCGCAAGAGTATAAAGCTATGCAAGCCCAAGCTGAAACTGTGTGTTCTACTCTAACTTTAAGACAAAATTTTTGTATGTTTATATGAATTTGTGGTGTTGCATTTATGGCTACCTAATGGGAATGAGTTAGCAATTCAGCGTAAAGATTATACTTTTATTTTAGTAAAGTCGGAAAAAAAAAATTGCTTCCAACATTACACAGATCTTAGTGATTACTATGAACACTTAACACTTTTTCTGCAACATTTCACTATTCGGATCAGATGTTTCTGAGCAGCAGAGTTGTGTGCCTGACATTTTATATTTACAGGAGAGGCAAAAGGTGATCTACGAGGAACAGAAAAAACTTTCTCAGCACCAAGCACAGACTAAATCACAGATGGCTCGTTATGAAGATGATTTAGCAAGAAAGAGGATGCAGGCATGTAATATTAGTCACATTTTTTACAACATTTATAGCTTATTTTCTTTGTTCTGACAGATTTTGTTGTGTATATTGATTTTACAGGCTGAGAATGAGTATCATAGAACAAGAAATCAAGAACTAGTGAAAATGCAAGAAGAATCAGCAATCAGGCAGGAACAAGCTCGACGAGCTACTGAAGAGCAGATCCAGGCGCAGAAGCGACAAACCGAAAGGGAGAAAGCTGAGATTGAACGTGAGACAATTAAGGTCAAAGCTATAGCAGAAGCTGAAGGAAGAGCCCATGAAGCGAGGCTCGCTGAAGATGTTAACAGGAGAATGCTTGTTGATCGTGCAAATGCAGAAAGAGAGAAATGGGTTGCTGCCATTAACACTACATTCGACCATATTGGAGGTGTGTGATTAAATTCCATACATGATGTCTCTCTTGTCTGAAGATACAGTTCATGTGACATGAGTTAGTGGTTTAAATAGAATTTTTACTTTATAATCTGTACATTGTTTTAGCATGTGGAAGTTCTAATTGTTTGAACAGGTGTTTAACACTTTACTCTTTCTTCCTAGGTGGATTGCGTGCAATTCTAACGGATCAAAATAAACTGATTGTTGCTGTTGGAGGTGCAACCGCTCTTGCAGCTGGAATATACACAACGAGGTAATTATTAGATATTGTGTCCGTACATTGAAAGATAATATTTGCCATTTCAGTCAGTAATTCCGCAATATTGAAATTTGATCTTAGCCTACTACTTGTTGCAGAGAAGGAGCAAAGGTTATCTGGAGCTATGTGGACAGAATACTAGGACAACCATCCTTGATCCGAGAATCGTCAAGGGGAAAGTACCCTTGGTCTGGTTCGGTTTCTCGTGTAATGTCAACATTGCGCGGAAAGGGGTCAGCTACCAATAATGGTAAAGGGTTTGGTGATGTTATTTTGCATCCTTCACTACAGAAGAGAATTGAACACCTAGCTAATGCCACCGCCAACACAAAATCACACCAAGCTCCTTTCCGAAACATGCTTTTCTATGGTCCTCCAGGAACAGGAAAAACAATGGCCGCTAGAGAGCTAGCTCGTAAATCTGTATGTACTTGCTTTAAGTTACTGATAAATTGTTATATATCACATCTAAATAAACAATGTGAGTCTCTAGCTTAAGGATGCTCGTTGCTACTTTGGCTCTTAGTTCTATGTTCATGGGATTCTCTGGTTTTGTTACTAAATTTTTCTTGTTATTTTAACGTTTATAACTCATGTAGGGTTTGGATTATGCACTGATGACTGGTGGAGATGTTGCTCCCCTTGGATCTCAAGCTGTTACAAAGATTCACCAACTGTTTGATTGGGGGAAGAAGTCTAAGAGAGGCTTATTGCTCTTCATTGATGAAGCCGATGCATTTTTGTGCGAGTAAGTGTTACTGCTCAGGTCATATTACAGGCTGGTCATTTCAACACTTTCGTCGTGGTTTTGATGTGTTTATCATAATTTAACAGGAGGAACAAAACATACATGAGTGAAGCTCAAAGGAGTGCACTAAACGCTCTTCTCTTCCGCACGGGTGATCAGTCCAAAGACATAGTCTTAGCACTCGCCACAAATCGACCTGGTGACCTAGACTCAGCTGTGGCTGACCGTGTGGACGAGGTTCTCGAATTCCCATTACCAGGAGAAGAAGAACGGTTCAAGCTTCTAAGCTTGTATCTAGAAAAGTACATAGCTCAAGCTGGTCCAAGAAAGCGAGGTTTGTTCGACCGTCTATTCAAGAAAGAGCAGCAGAAGATTGAGATAAAGGGTGTCACTGAAGAGCTCCTAAAGGAAGCAGCTGCAAAAACCGAAGGGTTTTCAGGTAGAGAGATTGCGAAACTGATGGCGAGTGTTCAGGCAGCTGTTTATGGAAGTGAAGACTGTGTGTTGGACTCTGTGCTGTTCAGAGAGGTTGTGGATTACAAAGTTGCAGAGCATCAGCAGAGAAAAAAATTGGCTGGAACCGATTCCAAATGAGGATTTTGATGTAAGCTAATCAATTTGGTCTCACCTTCACACTGTTGGAAATAGGCAAAACAAAACAGAGGCTGGTAATCTCTGAAAGTTGTTTCTGAGGTATGGGCAGAGATTTGAATCCTTTTTGGTGAAGGAGAGTTTTTGTTCTTTGTATTACGGTTTACGTTTCTTTTAGCAAAGCTCAAACTATATTCGAATAAATATCGACTCTAATATCATTTTTTTTTTTTCAAGAGGAAACATGAATAAGACAGTGAGGTCAAACGTAATCAAACATTGATCGGTTCCTTTATTACACATAAGATATCTGAAGATGTCGGAGCATCACACAAACTTGACAATGCAATAAAAAAAGAGAGAGACAGGAGATTTTTCTTGATTATCAGAGATGCTGCCTTAGTGATGATGATCTTGAACATAACGAAGGCCACAGTATTTGCAAACGGCAGGCTCGTCTAGGTCGAGGCAAATGAACTCAATTGGATGACCAAGTGCCGGATTGGTGTCTGCAAGTTATACCAAAGTCCATAACTAAATCAACTTCCAGTTTGGTATAATCACACAAGCAAATAGCTTTAGGTCACTGATGAGACAAACCTCCTTCACAAGCAGCAATCCTTCCATCAACTTTGATAGGTGGGACCTCATTGATCAACTCCATTGGTGACTTCTTGCTTCTATCCTGTTACAGATTAACCCTTTTTAGCTACGTTATTGGAAAACTACCACTGAAGTGACAAAAGACCAAAAATTGATACGCAAAGTTCCTAATTTACCAGGGAAGAGCCAATACGAAGAAACTGTTAACTAACAAACAAACACATAGCTAATAATTGTAAAACCAAAGTAAAATTTTCAAGCTCACAGAATTCATCAGCAAATGGTAAGTGATTCCAAGCCAGTAAGGCTATTAAAGCTGATGATTAAGCTATTGGATAAGGAATTTGCCATTCAATCATTGAATTGTTTTTTTTTTCATTTAGTAGACCATGAAGATGATCAAAACATGTATCTACTCACAGCCAAAGCTGTAAACTAACAAACAAGTACATAGCTATTGTAAACCAACATGGGTAAAATTTTCAAGCTCACAGAATTAACCAGTAAAAGGAACTGATTCCAAGCCAGTAGGCTATCAAACTAATGATTGTGATGATTAAGGAATAGAATATACACATATTATAAGCTGATGCCACAACAAGAAGCTGAACGATAGTACACTATGAAGATGATCAAACATTTATCTACTCATACCAAAGCTATCTAAATTCTCTGCCCTCACCCCTTTCGGCTAATTAATTTATTGTTCCATTAGCAGTGGATAATAGTTAATGATGAATAAAAGTCCTTAAAGAAGAAATTACTTATGTCCTCAAATTTAATCATCATCATGCCTCTATGAATTCTGATTAAATTAAATCTTTATTTAAGGAAATTTTGAAGGATACGATAGCTACCCTGTGATTTCTACAATCCAATTAATGCCAAAATAACCTCTCAACGTATATCAAAGTATCGGATGGATTCGAAAGAGCACATCTAGAATCTGACGTCATCCATCAAAGTACCTGCATCCATTTGGCGGTGTGATTTCCGACTAGATCGTCTGTTGGCACGCCCAGTTGGGTGGTAGCTGGTGCACTAAAGTGCCTCCTCGTGGATGGGAGAATCTGCGATCTGATTAGGGCTTTCACGAGTTTCGACGCCATTTTTTTTTTTTGCTCCTCTACCAAAAAAATAATCAGAGGAAGTCTCTCTTCACAGAGAGAGAGAGAGAGAGGGACTTGTTTCTAGGAGGAACCAATAACACCGACTTGGGCCTTAATTATAAATTATGGCCCATATACTCTTAAAAGGCCTACATTGTTTTAAAGTTACAGTAACAAAGTTGTATAATTAGTTAGTTACAACTGTTCTAAAATTCGGTTTATTCGGTAAATCAGGTATGAGGAAAACGAATTTTCCAAACCATTAGGCATTCAAAAAATCGACCTAAACACCCCTAAAAAATCCTCTAACCACCACCTACCAATTTTTAGAACATTGATAATTAGCAAGTCCAGTGAGGTTGGTTATATAAGACTTCTGGTTTTGGTTTAATCGGTTATCATTGGTAACCAGATTTTGTTTGATTTTCTATCAAATGTTCGCAAAGTGAAGGAAATATTTAAGAGTTTGGTTTTATTTCAATTTCATATCTTACTAAACAAAATAAATATAGTTTATATGGACAATCACAGGATAGATACACAAAAAAATAATGCAATAGAACAAATAAAAAGAAAAAAAAACATACAATTTTTTCAAAGTTGTCAACGCACCAAACGTTTGCCGCGAACTGTACTCACTTATTCCGCGGTAAAATGGCTACGCCCACTTGTGGTTTGCTGCGTTTGCCATTCAGAGCCTCAAGAAATGAAGCATCATAAAGTGAAAACAGAGCTAAGATGAGAAGACCTTTTTTAGAGACATTTGGCTTCAATTTCTTCAAGAGTGAGACCCTTTGTCTCAGGCACAATGAAGTATATGAAGAAAAGAGATACTACACATATCGCTCCAAATCCAAAGAACAATACTCCTGCTCCCAACAGCTCCTGCAGAAAACAAAAAAAAAAAAGTCTAGTTAGCATAAAGGAATGCAGCTCAAAAACAATCTTTGTGGTGGTTAGATAGGAGCTAAATGGGGAACCTCTAGCCAAACATATTCTTCCAAAGTTACAGCTACGTTTTATTGAAAGAACATATATATTGAGGAGTTTTTTTTGGTTATAGAATCTTTACCTTTAAAGGTGAGAAAGCGAATGTCACAAGCGCGTTTGTGCCGAAGTTCACAAGCACTGCTATGCTGATACCTCTACCTCTTAGTTTTAAGGGAAATATCTCTGAGATCATTAGCCAACCAATAGGCCCAAAGGATAACTGCAAGATTGATGGCAAGCCTTTTTTGAGATAGTATGAAAAATATATATAAGATGTGAGCTTGTCAAGAGGAACCTTAATTAGAAAATATATGAAAGGAAAGTTAACCTGATAGCAGCCCACATACAGTAGCAATGCAACAACAGCAACAGCTGGTACAGTGTTATAAAAGATGTAGTAAGACCCCAAGAGGAACAATGAGATCACCTGTTAGAAAATTTAAAAACACACAAGCGGCTAAGACAACAAAGAAAGAAAGAGAAAAGAGTGAAGAAGTCACAGGACAAACCATGCCAGAAACACCACCAAAAAGTAAAGGTCTCCTTCCAAGTTTGTCAATCACTATAACAGCAACTCCAGTCATAACCAACTGCAAACATTAAAAGGACTACGTCAAGTTTTCTAAAGAAAACATATAAACCATCTTTGCTACAGAAAAATGTGCTAAGCATTTCATTCACAAAGTATATACAATCCTCCAATGTTTCATAGCTAACAAAGTATTTGATAAGTCAAAACAGATGGAAGAAAACGAATACCTTCAGTAGACCGAGCAGAATTGAGATCCGAGTTGCATCAGCTGCAGCAGAAAATCCAGCAGTCTAAAACATGTAATGTTATTGGTACAAAGAAATGATTAATCTTGTTTAGAGATGAAAAGAGAACATATATTATTAGGGATGAATTAAGAACCTGTAGTATTGATGGTGCATAATAAAGTACACTTGGTTGCCCGGTTATCTGTAACCATTTGAAAAACATATTTAGCTATTATTCTTTCTTCTAAAAGACATTTAATGAACTGACTGCACCAACCTGTTGTAACAAGACTAAACCTCCTGCTATAGTGAGAGCCTTCAAGCACTTGCCTTGAAATATTTCACCAAGTGTAGCTTCTTTATCCTCACCCACAGCGGAAAGTTCAGCCAAGATCTCTTCTACTTGTTCAACAGCTAAGTCAACTACAACAGACCCTCTAAGGCGACGAAGAGACCTGATTGCAGCCTGTTGAAGGTTCTCCACATTCCCTTTTCCCTGAAGAGAGCGCAGTAAAAGCCACCTAGGGGAAGCTGGTAGCCAACACATTCCAATCCCCATAATAACTGGCACAGGGATGATCGTTGCGTACATGTAACGCCAACCAGATATAACTGTAACCCAAAGGCTACCAATCCCATAACCTCCCTTCAAAAATTTTATATGTGTCGGTGGAAAACAAATTTTCATTTTTGTAACTTGAAAACTGAGCAATAAGATTATGATATCTACAGAGCTTTGAGAACTTACAACCATACCAAGGACGGCTGCGAATTCCTTTAGTGATATCATCCTTCCACGTATCTGACTTGGAGCAGTCTCAGCAAGGTACATTGGAGCCGCGTGCATTGTCTACAATACATGAAAACATATCAGTTAGGTGCAAACACAAGTTTAAGCAGGGAAACACTAAAGGATCCATGATCTATCTTACCAGTCCAATCCCAACGCCATACATAAGCCGTCCAATTATCAGGACAGAAAAGACAGGTGCTACTGTAGTTACAATGGCTCCAACAAGATATAAGAATGCAGCCAAGATCAGCTCCTTTCTTCTTCCTTTGAAAACAAAATCAATTTCTTTCAAATAAAGATATGCTTGCTGCTATGTCATAATATTAATGAATTCGAAAGAAAACAAACCTATAGTGTCGGCAACACTAAATGCCACAATAGATCCAATTAAGGCACCGTAGAGTGAGCCACTAGTCTGCACAAAAAAAATTATGCAAATGTTTTAAAGACCATAGCTCCTTTAAGGAGGCAACAATAACAAAAATTTCATGCAATAGCCAATATGTGGAAGAACCAAGATAGGTGAAACATAGACTCACAATGATACCAACATCCACTGGAGACAAGTTGTACCATGATATCCCACTTAGCGTAGGTGACTGTACATTAAGGCAAAAGAAAAACAGAGCAATTAACAGAACTGTAAACAGGCTTAGACAATTAAACAAATACACATGCAGTAGAAATTCAAGGGTACACAATGGCACTGCAGATCCAGGTGTGAACTATGTAAACACAGTCTTTTTGGGCCAAGGTTTTAAAAGCATTTACCTTAATAGAGATAATAGCACAAGAAGTAGCACCAATCTCATAACCAAAAAGGAAAGCTCCAAGAGCTGGAAAGAGAAACCTGTGCAATAAATAACTTTTTAGTATGCTTTTCATGTGCAAACCAAACACTTGCTTTTTTTAGCAGAAACATTGGCAATAATCTGTGAATAGCAACCACAATCTTTTCTGGGACCACAGTTGGTGACGTGGTGGTGTGTTAATGACTACCTAACCAAACGAAAACGACAAGAAAAAGAAACTCACGAGGGAATGGCTGCAAGAACAGAGTAGTCTTCTGGGCTGTGGTGATGATTCTCCTTAATCAGATGCTCTTTCATTGAGCTAATCCCACCTGAAGATGAATCACCAGCCTACATAGCAACACCAGTTTCAAATACATGATTGATAATCATGTAAGGTATAATCTCATGCTTAAGATTTGAAATCCCAGTTTAAGCCAAGTTGAACATATTACATGCAGATTCAAACTAATTTTTTCAAACTCAAAATCAAGACAAACTCTAACCTATATCTTGCCTTCACAACTCTCTAAAGGCCTTAACAAACAAAAACCTAGTACATAGTTTTTGACGGTGAACGGAGAAGCAAGGAAGAGAGAACATCAAACGAAGCACGAAACCTGTGCAAGAGAAACGATCGATTGCTTCTCGGAATCAAACACCATGGTTAAGACAGCTCGTTCAAGGAGAAGGAGATGGAGGATCTAGCTCTCTGTTTTTTTTTTGACAGTGGAATTGTCTGTTTTTGAGCTCAACGAGGTTTGTATTTGGAGAGGTGAGAATTGTGAGGAAGAGAGACGAGCAGTGTTATAATAACTGTCAACGGACATTTCAAATTAGGAGAAGGATTACTGTTTGGTCAGCCGATTAGTTTCCTTCAATACATTTGTTTTCGGTGGTTAATAACAATAATATTGTTTGTTGTCTTAACCAGATTAAACATGTTTTATGTGGTAATTTACTATTGGTAGAGCCGACAAATAAGCCCCATTAGAATATCCCGTTTTTTTGAGAAAAATATCTCCACCGTTTTTAATATCTTGATGAATGATATTTTTCTTTGTTTTCAACCACAAATTCTATTTTTTGGGTTCTTTATCATATATGGACTATATTCTTATTTTGTACCACTAGGGATCATTGTAATTTACTTACGTTGCTCACATTTTGCATAATTTTGTTTCTGTAGTTTACATTGATTAATATACAAATCTTTAACTAATCTAAAAGGTATAGTTTCATAAAATTAGAATTGATAAAACTGTTTTCAAAAGATAATATTTATTTATAGTCCTCTACACTCCTCTCTACAGGTGAAGTAAAGCTTAAGTAACCAATATGAGATAAACCATCACCAATTACACAGTTCCATAAACACAACTGTTTGCTTTAGATCCAAAACAACTTCCTTTTATTCAAAAGAGACAGAAACAAAACAACAAATCACTCAGAGAGATTCTCAAAGAGTGTAAACCAGAGCTCTCAGTTTCTCACATTCTTACTTGGTCTTGGTGGGTACCCATGGTTGGTAGCGAGTCCAGTTCTTTTGCCCGGGGTTCAAGGTATGTCCTTTAGAATGGTAAATGTATGCATCACCTTCCCCAGAGAAGTTCTCCTTATGCTCAATCCCATACCTTTGTGGTTTCTGACTCAATAGCTTCAAACACACAGGGAGAGAGAGACATTGTTTATTTCAAGTTAGTAAGCCACTTATTTAATACCAGTAATCGAGATAGCGGATATGGAATAGGCTTTATTCATACCTGATCTCCAGTGTGATCAGTGATGAAATGAAGCCATCCGTGCCATTCGGCTGGTACTTGAGATGCGTTGTAACGATCCTTGGATGCGTACTCTACCCACCTATGTCTACCTGTTAGCAAGTGTCTCAATTTAAAATCATATCGACCAAACATTCTATACAGATAAAGATCTTTTAAGGGAGAAGTCTACCACATATTTACTCAAAACTATCATATAGAATATATTTGGTTTTGTTCTGAAAACAACTTGGGCATTTCTTAAACAAGGCTTTATAATCTCTAGTGAAATAGGTAAAGAAGCTCAATTTCTCTTACTAATCTAGCAAATAACAGATGCTGGTTGGATAAAAAGTTCAATGGCTAAACAAAATTTACAATTCAGAGAGTAGACAAGACATATGAAGTCAATTATATAAATTTCTTTTGGAAGAGAGATATCAATTATATAAAATTTCTTGGAAGAGAGATATTTGGTATCATGAATCCTATAGTGGCACCAGTATATAGCAAAAGCATGATTTTAAATAGGCAACAATACATCAAGTTATTAAAAAGAAGAAAGAATAAAGTACCGTATTGAGTATCACCCAGCTTCTGGTAGTATTTGTTACCGAACTTGTCGACACCAACAAGTGTTGCTCCTATGTTGTGTATTTTAGTTTGCCTTCAATGGATCAAACAAGAAACACCAAAACTTTTATTGATCAGAAACTATGACTCAATAGCAAGGTCAAATATAAAGAAGGTGGACATATAAAACACAACATTCAAATACATAGGTGATACACTACTAACAATCGGAATCAACAAGCGAACACAAGATGGATGTCCTGATGTTAAGCAAAAGCAAAAGTAGTATATAATCACAGTCATCAGTAATGACACTAGTTTGCAAATACTTGAAAAGAGTAGTTCACCAAAATCAATCCAATGAAGTCTATTTTGCAAAAAAACTCACGTTTATATACACACACCCCTGCATTAAAATTCTATCAAGCTCCATATACTTATAGCAAGCATAAAGAAATGATGTTTATACAAAGTTGATGTGAATGCAGCCAAATCCAACAATTATGTAGAGCCTATTAAAATCCCACACTAGCTTTCAACCCTATTGTGATCATCTATGAAGCAATAAACAGAACTAAGCCAAAAAGGATCAGAAACACTTCGAATTGGTGACATATATATATAAAAAAAAAATGATAACGAGCTTAGCCTACAAAGGATTCTTGGACAATCAATTGAATCATATAAATACATAATCTCTAGAGAAGTGAAACAATAAGCAGTAAATATCAGAAGATAGACACTTACAAGAGGTTCCCATCTGGTAGGCATCTCCTGTAATCAAGGAAACAAAAATTGAAAGGATCCAATTAGAACATGAGCTATATTGCTAGGTTTTACGGAATCTAATTAAATCCAAGGAGATCGCAAGCAAAATGAAATAAGCTGGAGAAGAGGACGTGAGAATCGAGCTTACAAGAAGCCTTCTTCACGGATCATCCTGAGGAAACCGCCGAGACCTTTCTCTCTGATCGCTTCCAACGCACTCTTCGCCACCGTCAATGCCATCGCGTTTCCTCTTCACCTGAGTTCTCGGAGTTCTAGCCTCGATTCGATTTTCGACAGTCGAAACAACGAGGGACAGATACACAATAGACATTTTTCATAAACGCACCGTTTTGATTTGCTGGGCTTTGTGCTTTACATGTTTCGCCTAGATTGGTAATTTTGTGGGAGCAGTGGGCTCGCTATGGCCCAAATCCTGATGCTTTGGTAAAATAATAGTACACTTGAGACATTATTTAGCACCAATATTAACCTAAAACTAAATCATAACCCGCCCGATTGGGCGGGTATTTGTTTTTATGGTATATATAAACATTTCAAAAATTACAATCTAATGGTTCCAATTTGACTAAGTAATAGTACATTATTTAAACATTGTATTTCATCATTGTATTGTGTAACAGGAGCATCGTAAAATATTATGACCCGTAAACATTTTATTAATAGTTTATAAAAAAATTTTTTGCTAAGTTTGGTGCAAAGTTATATACATTAAACAATTTATTCAAAATTTTAAGTTAATTTTCTCATGAAGAATTGAATGGCTAGTATATCAGTGTTAAAAATTTATAACAATAGTCAATATAAATTATATAAATAAAATATATATTATTCTTGATTTATTTTAAATACATTTAAAACATGAATACATATATATATAAATAATTTTCAGAAATAAAGTAATATCAATGATAGAAACCCAAAAACAATAATAATGATACTTTGGGCCGCAGTAATCTTTAGTTTAATAAATAAGCCCATTAGATTTGTAGGTTATCTTTGTTTCCAATCATTATAATTTTAAATACCTATTCATGTTTCCAAACACTAATTTTTTGTACTTCAGCTTTAATAGTATAGATGAATTGTTTTTCATGTGCATTACAAACTTTATACCCTTTATTATTTTTTCTTCATGTACATATATAAGCTGTGGATGGGAGATTTGGGGTGAATGAGAGGAAAGAAGTGAAAATGGAAGAGAGAGTTGAGTAAATATCTTCTTCTTTTTTTGCGCAACAGTTGAGTAAATATCTATTCTATTAAATTAGAAATTATAATTTCATTTCATGTGTGATTTTTATGTTTGACCATCCTTTAAAACTTTAATTAGATGGTTTCTTGCATACATATTTGCATTATTTAACTATTCTAGAAAAATCAAACAAATATTCCTCTATTTTCTCTAAATAAAATCTGAATAAAATATTTTTCTTAACTATATAAATATATGTTATTTTTTATTAAAGCAGAAATTTAAAAATATTTAATTACTTTCATATTTATTTAAAATATCAATATATATTTCGTTTTTCACTTAAACAAACCTTTTGAATATTTAATTAATTTCATAATTATTTATAATAGAAATTTATACTTAAATAAACCTTTTAAGCATTGATTAATTTTGTATTAATCCGATGTACAATTTGTATTAAATTTCTGATATTAATTTAACATGATATTTTCAATTCAATCTCTCATTAAGATTTGTTAATTTAGAATTTTGTACCACACTATTGACTATCCTAGTAATATGAATACCGGTCTACAAATACTATTTTGAAAATGCATTCAATTTCTGTTATTAAATACAGTGGCCGGTTTAGTTTTACTTTACAAAAATATAAGTATATAGTTGCTTTGTTTACAAAAAAAAACATAATCAAATGTTTATATATATCATATTCATATCTTGTTCATTAATGTAATTGTTTTTATTTCTTTTACAATTTTGAAAGTGCAATAAGTATTGTACGATTGCACCAATTTTATCCATTAACATAAATGACAGATGAATGATTGAAAAATATATTTCATGTGAATATTTTTATTGTCAAATTTAGTAGTAGGTTTAAGTGTTAATCATATAACACAATGTATGATATATGAACATTTGCAAATAAATGTTTAACACTGAGAAAATCATAGTAAATAATCCAAAAAATTTGGGCTACAAAAATCTAAATCACCAATAGACAACATAATAAACCACAAAATGTAGATAAATACAAAGAAAATTCAGGTTTAAAAGAACAAAAACAAACACAATGCATTATATTTTACAGTTTAATAATTTAAAGAAGAAAACATTTTATAAATTATAGTACTTAATATAGGTCATCAGTCGAAGATTTAATTAAACAGTTTGATTAACATATATGTATTACCAAAATCTAAACACAAATATAATCATACGCAAATTAATATTTAAATTAATAGTAAAATGAAAAGAATTTGTCGCAATTAGTCAGTGTTCATATTTTAAAATACCACTAATAATTTGGAACATGCAAACTATAAAATTGTCAGTTTTTAAAATATTGTGTTAAATTATCAGTAAAATTGTAAATGTTAAAATTATATACCATTAAATATGTAAATCAAATATTTATATTAATATTTATATTTATATGTATACTATCTAGAAGATGTTAAAAATAAACTATCTAGAAGAAATAAGAGGAAAATAATTTTTACATGGTTGATAAATTTTCAGAGTAAATAAAAGTAATTAATTTTTCTTCTTGATTATTTACTCTAAATGTAACAAAATAATACCATTTTTATTAATAAAATAGCACAACCTTTTATTGTATAAGATCTCTATATATAGTCACAAATATTTAAAATAGTTGAATAATCTTTTTTGTCTCCTACACATGTAGATACAGTGCATTGAATCTATTGACATGAATATTTAATTTGCTTATATAACCTTTCCTTATATTAAAAAAAAACCTTCCCATGTATTGACATAAATATTTAATTTCAGTTACATAACCTTTCATTGTATTTTATTCCATGTATATCGTATTGCACTACAATTACAAACTACAGTCAAAACCCTTCGAAGGTCAACTTAATTAGAACACTACAAGTCCTTCCTTCCTTTTATTTTCCCTCTCCGTCCCTGCGTCAATCTCAGGCTGCCTTCATAAACCTCTCTCTCTATATACTTATATATATATAAACAGCCTCTCTCCCTTACCCTCATCAAAACATCTCCCTCTCTATACAAAGTTCCGTCTCCGTCTCTCGTCTCTTGTCGACCTCTATTGATTCTCACCTTCCCCCGCCATGTCCGCCGAGAAGTTACTCGACTTGAGTCAGCCTATCGACGTCGTTTTACTGGACGCTACCGTTGCGGCCTTCTACTCAACAGGATCCAAGGATGAAGTAAGTCAATTGCCTATGGTTCCTAATCAATGAAACGAACAAATCTATCCACCATTATATTTTCTTATATTTTGTTGATGCGTATTCTGATTAGGGCGTTAAAGAGGATTTCTAGAGTTTCATACTTAGTTTTTGCATCTGTGTCTGTTGATTTAAATGAAAACAATGTTTGTTTCAGACAACAACAACCAGTTATATACTTTCGGTCTCTGATATGGTTATGTCACACAATCAATACCTTTTAAGACTCTTGTAATGGAAGTTGCGTTATGCTTATGTCTTTAAGGCCGTCTTCATCGATCATGTTCTTCTTCTTCTTAGTCTCAACCTCTTCTGTTTTTTTTCCTCTCCATTGTTATTAAGAACCATCTCTTCCTCAACATTCTCCTTGTCCTTCGTGTTGTTACCTGCAACAAGATTTAGCTTACATATAAGAAACTAACAATGTTTAATTTTGTTTCAGAGAGCCGCTGCGGATAATATCCTCCGGGAATTGAAAGCCAACCCTGATACGTGGCTTCAAGTGGTTCACATTTTACAAAGCACCAGGAGTACACATACCAAATACTTTGCTCTTCAGGTAAGTTTTGCTTATTCAAGTTTTCTATAAGGGAAGTGTTGTTATGGATTCCACTTTCAGGTGCTAGAAGGTGTTATCAAGTATAGGTGGAATGCTTTACCTGTTGAACAACGTGATGGAATGAAGAATTACATCTCTGAAGTCATCGTGCAGGTATAATATATTTCAGAGGCATTATGTTTTTTTTTTTGTTGGAATTAGTTGAAAATGTTTTGATATTGATTTTTTTTTTTTTAAATTGTGTAGCTCTCAGGGGATGAAGCATCTTTCAGATCGGAAAGGCTTTATGTCAACAAGTTAAATGTCATTCTAGTTCAGGTATATACTTCATGGTTTCATGCTTAATTGCTTTGAGTTCTTCTTGTGTGTTTACTATCTATTTATTTTTGTGATTCTTAATATAGATCGTGAAACATGAGTGGCCTGCAAAGTGGAGGAGCTTTATTCCCGATCTTGTTAAAGCTGCTAAAACTAGCGAGACTATATGTGAGAATTGCATGGCTATTTTGAAAGTAAGTCTTGTCTAACTACTTTTGCATTAAGTTCAAGATGTACTTGCACTTGTAAATAACATTCCTTTTTGATTTTTTTTTAGCTGCTGAGCGAGGAGGTATTTGATTTCTCAAAAGGAGAGATGACTCAGCAAAAGATAAAGGAGATGAAAGAATCCCTAAACAGGCAAGTTAGAATTAAAGTATATTTAAGAGTAAACTATGTTCAAACCTCAAATATCTTGCCAGAATTTTCAACTGATGAGTTTTCATACTCTACTGACTTGTTCTGTTTTGTAATGTGTAGCGAGTTTCTACTCATTCATGAGTTATGCCTATATGTTCTCTCAGCTTCCCAGAGACCAGAGCTTATACGTGCAACGCTCGCTGCATTGCATGCCTATCTTTCTTGGATTCCGCTGGGCTATATATTCGAGTCACCCTTGGTAATAAATTTTGAATATAAGTGGACTAAGATAAGTCTCATACTTCCGATATCCTTATTACTGATCTCGTTTTTCACAGCTGGAGACCCTACTTAAATTCTTCCCTGAGCCGGCATATAGGAATCTCACCCTTCAGTGTCTGTCAGAGGTATGCTGTTTTATAGTCTGGGTTTTCTGAGTGTTACTATTTTAATGTCACTGTCTTTATGGCTTGTGTTTTTTTTGGCAGGTTGCAGCTCTTAATTGTGGGGACTTCTATAATGGGCAATATGTCAAGATGTACAGCATTTTCATGGGACAGTTGCAGGTAATGTTCTGTTTATTGTTGGTTTTGTTCATTGATGTTTCAAGACT